ACATTACCAAAATACTCTCCAAAGCATTATACAGATTCAATGCAGTCTCTTTAAGGAATCCCATGACATATTTCAAAGAAATAGACCAAACACTCTTGGAATCCACACAGAACTATAAATGCCCACGAATAGCTAAGCCATCCTTGGAAAAGAGAAGATGGGAGGCATCACCTTCCCAACTTCGAATTGTACTACAAAGTGGTAATAATTAAAACAGCATGATATTAGAATAAGAATAGATCTGCAGATCAATGGAATAGAGTTGAATATTCTGACACAGACCCTCAAATATATGATCATCTGATAAAGGAGCAAGAAATATGAAGTGGAGCAAGGAAAGCCTCTTCAGTAAGTGTTGTTGGAAAACCTAAACAGTTATATGAAATAAAATGAATTCAGACCTCCATCTAATACCAGGCACAAAAGCCACATAAAAAATGGATTAAAGATCTTAAAATCAGACCTGAATCCATAAGATAAATGGAAGAAAATGTGGGCAGAACCCTACATGACATGGCAGCTAAAGGAATCTTCAAGGATAAAACACCACGGGCCAAGTAAGTGAAAACAAATATAAACAAATGATACTACATTAAATTAAGAAGCTTCTACACCTCAAAAGAAATGGTGACCAAGAAACAAAGAGTCCACAGATGGGGCAAAAAAATTTACCCAATACCCATCAGATAAGCTCTGGCTTCTCTTCAGATCACATGAATCTTTTGCCCTTTACCAATACCCATCAGATAAGGGGTTAATGTCCAAGATCTATAAGGCACTAGTAGAACTTTACAAGAAAAAAAAAAAATCTAACTCCAACAAAAGATGGGGAGAAGGAACAGAAAATTCCTTAAAAAAAAAAAAAAGCCAAGACACAAGAAAAAATGCTCTACATTGCAAGTCATCAGGGAGCTGCAACAATGAGATAACCATTTTCCAACACAGAATGGCACACATCAAAAAGAACAAGAGCAACCAATGTTGGCACAGATGCACAGAGAAAGCAACTCCCCTTCACTGTTGAGGGAATACCGACTGGTTCAGCCTTTTTTGGAAATCAATTTGAGCATTCCTAAAAAAGCTGGAAATTGAGATTTCATATGACTCAGCAATACCACCTCTGGAATAAAGCCTGGGGGCCCCAAAACACACAGCAGAAATGTCACCTGCATTTCAATGTTCATTGCAGCTCTATTCACAATAGCCAGAATCTGGAAACAACCTGACAGCCCAAGAACAGATGACTGGTAAAAGAAACTATGGTACATCACCACAATGAAATATTATGCAACTGTTAGGAAAAATGAAGCTACCAAATTCAACTATAAATAGATGGACATGGAGAGTATCACGTAAGTGAAATGAGTCAGAAGGACAGACATAGAAAGACTGCACTCATTTGTCTGTTATAAAAAAATAACATAATATGAGACTAATATCCAAGGACAGTGGAAACAAGGGCCAAGAGGATTGGTCCATGGTTGGAAGCCTGCCTCAGGTGCTGTGGGGGGAGAAGGCAGTTAGGAAAGAGAAGGAACCACTATGGCAATAATAGTTGGAAATGATCATTGTGGGTAAGAACTGTGTGCTGAAAGTAGGTAAAGGACCAAACATGATGGCCTCTCAGCATCTGTATTGCAACCATAATGCCCAATAGGATAGAACAGACAGCCAGACAGACAGACAATTAGAGACAGAGACAAAGAGAGAGATGGAAAGTATCTGGCATAGAGACAAGCTTCTGAGGAGGGGGTGTGGCAAGAGGAAAACTGGGGATACTTTGGTGAGAAATGTACAATGGTGGAGGGATGGGTGTTAGAACATTGTATGACAGAAACTGACCATAAACAGCCCTGTACCTGTGTATTTCACAGTGATTCTATTTTAAATAACAGCCAATATTTAAATAAATAAATAAATAAAGTTGCACCACTAACATCAAACACAAATATTAACTCCCAACAGACTAAAGACCTGAACAAGATCGGAAACCACAAAAATACCCAGAAGAAAACAGGTGGCAGGCTGATTGACACTGGTCAGAGGGATGTTCTCCTGGATTTTATCCTAAAGCCAATCAAATGTTCCAACAAAAGGACAAATAAATGAAAGGGAACTGCATAAAACTAAAAAGCTTTTGCACAGTGAATCAAAAAAAAGAAAAGAAAAGGTGACCTACCAAATGCAATAAGATAGTCACAAACAACTGCCAATAAATCAAGGGAAAATAGTCAAAATATACAGAGGCCTGAGATCCTGCTGATCATGTCAGTGGCAACTGTGCCTTCCCTGTCAGCACAAATCCACAAGTCTGTTCCTGCCAAGCTACTGATCTGTTTGCATTCAGTAGCGTCCGCCACTCAGAGGCTCTGTGTTCCCTGCACTGAAGTAGTGTGGAGTGGCACAGAGAGATGTGTATGCGCATTATAGCTGGAATGTGTGACCCCTGGTGGGCAACACTCCTGAGAAGGGTGTGAGCATTCTGGCCCAGAGGGCACTCCAGAGAGGGAGTGCGCAAACACCACACCTAAAGTGGGCCACCCCAGTGAGCACCATGGCCAGGACCCGGCATTGCTGTATAATCGTCACAGATTTTGCATCAAATTTTTTCTGGGGGGAAAAAATGGTGTAGTGTATAACCATAATGTGAAGTCTTTTATTTAAAAAGTTTCAGGACTGGAGAGATAGCACAGTGGGTAGGGCGTTTGCCTTGCACGTGGCCGACCCAGGTTCGATTCCCAGAATCCCATATGGTCCCCTGAGCACCACCAGGAGTAACTCCTAAGTGCAGAGCCAGGAGTAACCGCTGTGCATCACCGGGTGTGACCCAAAAAGAAAAAATAAAGAAAAACATTATTTTAGACATCACAGGTTGCAAAACCTTTATTGGTAGTCTTGTGCCTAAACAGTCTTGTGCCATAGCCTCCACCAGTGTCCACTTCCCTCCAGCACTGTGCCAGTGTCCTCTGTACCTCCGTGGTAAGCTCTAGAGGAAACCAGTTCTCAGTTTCTGTCCCTTTTAGGCATTTTTTGTTTCCCTACTATGGATCCTTATATCCCACAAATGTGGGAGACCATTCTGTATCTGACCCTCTCCTTCTGACTCACTTCGCATAATACTCTCCTGATCCAGACAAGCAGCGGCAAACCTCGAGATTCCATCGTATAATCTTAGCATATCATTGTGCGCGCATTACTTCAAAACAGATGTGAGGAGGAGTTGGAGAGAGCGAGTACAGCGGCTAAGGTGCTTGTCTTGCATGCAGTCTTGCATAAGACTTGAGATCCATCCTGGGAATCCCATATGGCCCCCCAAGCCCTACCAGGAGTAATTCCTAAGTGCAGAGCACGAAGTCACCCCTGAACATTGGCAGGTGTGGCTCCAAAATCAAAAAAACAAAGAAAATAGTGTGTGAGATTATGTGCTGATCAGGATACTATTTCAAATATAAAGAATTCATACAACTCAGTAAAAACAAACAAACCAAAACCATCAAATTCAACAGGCAATGGGAATTTTCAAGGAGACAGCTCAGAGGCCAGGGGTTCAAGCCCAGTACCACATGCCCACCCACTCGCTGTACCAGATCCCCAAGTACCACTAGGCTGGCACCACAGGGCCCCAGTAGCTCCACACCCTCAGGCTCCTGTACTGAAATGCCTGGTCCAGTTAGTGGAGTAACACAGGAACTAGCCTCTGGGCCACTGAGCATTTCCTGGGAACACCTTCGTCAGGCCCCCAACTCCAAACTGGCAGAGGGGTCAAGGAGGTAGTTTGAAAGGCTAGAAAACAAATTTTGATGTGAGAGCCTGGAGTTCAATTCCCACCACCACAGGGCTCCCTCCACATCAGCTGGAAGTAGCTTGTGAGCACAGAACACTGCTGGTATGGTCCCTAAACAACCAAAAAGGAGCAGAGGTTGAAAAGCCATTCTTCTAAGGAAAGATAGAGCCAAGATGCATATGAAAAGAAGCTCAATACTACTAATCATTAGGGAAATACAAAGCAAAACTACAATGGGATTATTGTCTCCTTTCAGAATAGCTGTTAACAAAAAGACGTTAAGTTGTTCGTGAGTTATGAAGGAAAGAGAACACTTGTACACTGCTGGTGGGAATGAACACTGGAAGGGCTTCAAGGGAAAAATGGTTGGGAGGCTTTCAAAGTATAATGACATATCACCTAGAAATTTTCCTTAGGGTATTTTACCTAAAGGAAAAAAGTAAGCCCTCATTCAAAAGACAAAATCATCCCCATGATCATTGCAGCATCAATAGCCAAGATCTGGGAACAACCTAAGTGTTCATGGATGAATGGATGAAGATGTGACTGAATAACAATGCAATGAGCCCTGAACAAGAAGGAAATCTTGCCACTTGGAACAACATGGCTGGACCTGGAGGGAATGAGGCTAAATAAAATAAGTCAGACAGAGAGAAACAAATTCTGTAGGATTTCACTTACTTTCCGTATCTGAAAACAAGCAAATAAAACTAAACCAAACTAAAATTACAGAAAGAGAAAACACTCAGTGGTTATCAAAGGAGTGGACAAGGACTGGGGTGTTGAAAGGAGAATTGGGGGGGGGGGATCAGGGGTGAGGATGGATGAAGTTAGAGGTACAACAAATTTCCAGTTACAAAATATATTAGTCAGGCAGCTGTAATGTGTAGAATGAGGAGCAACTATAAGATAATATTGCAAATTTGAAATTCGCTAGGAAGACTTAATGTGATGATCACTTCAAAAAACTCAAATGTCGATTCATTATGTTGTAAACCTGAAACTAACATAATACTGTACATCAATAATACTTCAAGTGGCATATATACCAAAGATCTAACATAAGATCTGTCTGTCTTCCAAAATAAAAAGTGGACATTCCAATTAACTAAACTTCCTCCACCATGGTTGCTACAGTATCAAATATTCACTCATATCTAAAATGTAATTCATTAAATATTTTATAGGAGCACATATAAGAAACATATAAACATACTCAGTCAAGGATGTCGATTCCCTGCTATTAGTATCTTCTTCCTCAAAACACTCAACAGCATTCAAACATTCTTCAATATTTGTTTGAAGAAGATCTTCAATTTCATCTTTTTCCACATCAAAATGGATCTCTTCCCAGTCAGAACTACAAAACTAATATCAAATATTTTCATTAAAGATCGGATTATTTTTATTAACAAGGAGACTCACTAATGACTATTCATATTAATTACCTGATAAAATCCACAGATTGCCTGCACCGCAAAGAACCACTTCTTGGAGCCTGGTATTCCACCCACTGAACAGGCTTGAAAATAAAATCACATTTATAAAAGGAAATATGCAGGTGATACCACAAATTTATACCACAAATATGCAAATGCAGAATATGTACTATGAAAATTTAAGATTTTGACATATGTAGCTCTTTAAGTTTTGTATGTACGAATGTATATAATTAGTAACCTGAATATTATATTCAATATATTGTACTTGCATATAAGAAACACTCATTTTATTTAATATACTGTCTGTACATAATCTATATTATGAATACTATATAGCACGTATAATATATATCACAGAATATGTATGTTACAGCATTGTATTTTCTTGAAATCTTTGCAAAAATTCAGTCTGCTAAAAAACAAAATTTTTATTTTGCTTCATCACCATTCAAACTCTGTATTATTTTAGTAATTACTTCAAACACTAATATAAACCAGAAAGATTAAACAATATAAAACTATCCCAAAACAAAAACTGTCTCATAATAAAAAACCATGTAAATCATTTTAGAAAAAAAAAATTTCTTCTTCAAACACCATGAAGGTTTTGTTCAGTCAGAATGGAGAGAAGGGAGCTAAAGAATAATTCACTATAGCCTACAGACAAAGAAGATACTTTTGGAGATTTAACTATTACAATGGAACACAAAATTAAGGATTACCCTAGGGTGTATGTCAAAAGAGTCATGAAGAATTTAGCCATATACAGAAAGTGGAAGCAAAGGAGAAATATATGGCAACCAAGGTTTAGCTCATGGCCCTCAGTAAGATGCTCAGCCTTACTACTTTCCTGCCAACATAAAGCAGAAGACTTTATCTTCCACTTCGTCAAGAAAATAGAAACCAGCAGGTAATGATGTCCATGACAACTTATCTGTAAACACGGCCCACTTGCATTCTCTTTGCGTTTCCTTGCTCTTTCTTGTGAATATATAAGAAGCACTGCTTTCCAACTTCAGGTTACCCATCAGACTTGCTGTGGAAATGCAAGTTACCAACTACACTTTCTTCCCTGCATCTTCAGTCTCGCCTCCATCCCTTTCAACTTTTTCATTCACACAAAAATACGGGCAGTATAAAAATGTGACAGAGGGAATGCGGGGAGGGGACAGAGGGAAAGGAAGGAGAAAAGAAAGGGCAGTAAAGGGTAGAATGAAAAAAAATGGTAAGGAACTGGGTGTATAAATCGTAATAAAGTATTTTCTAACCATTTTTATGAACCTAAAGATAGCACGACAATTTTAGAAAAGGGACAAAACTCAAGCTAAGAACCTAGAATAATGCTTATAGCTTTATGAAACTTAACATCAGTAAAGAGAGGGATAAATTCTTTTTTTTTTTTTGCTTTATTACCGCCCTATTCTAGTTATTTGTACACAGTCAAGAAGTTATTTCTTGTATTCTTAATTATTTCCAATACAAATTAATGTGTCAGGGAAAAAAAAAAGAAAGAGGTTTATGTTACACTTACCAGGGAAAGTACTATCTTCTGGACTAACTGAAGCACTAATGCTTTTTTTCAAGAGATGATAAACATTTGCTGCTGATAAGTCTGAAAAAAGAAAAGACTAACTCAACAGGCTAAAGAGTTTATGTAAGTCAAGTTCAACTTCGCCTTCTTCAGAAACAACGTTTATAACAAAAAACTACATTCGGTTCAAGCTCTCAAGTTCTGTTATAACAAATCTATAGAAAGAAGAGGAAATAGACAAAGATTCCAGTTTGCAAACAACAAACTGTTAACACAAAACTCAAGTTTCCCCAAGAAAATGATCTCATGCCCGAGTGGCAAACAGATAATAATGTTTGCCAAACAACCTCATTGCCTCTTTTTCAGTACGCCTGCTAGATCCAAACAAATAAATCGCAAAACAGAGTGGAAGAAGACAGGTGCAACACATGATTGCCACTCCATTCCTCTTTTGCAAACCACAGCACCCAAAAGGAGAGAGAGAACAAAAGGGAATGTCCTGCCACAGAGGCAGGGTGGGATGGAGGGAATGGGGGGTGGGAGGGATACTGGGATTAGTGGTGGTGGAGAATGGGCACTGGTGGAGGGATGGGTACGTGATCATTGTACAACTGAAACCCAAGCACAAAAATGTGTTAAGTCTACAACTGTACCCCATGGTGTTTCACTAATAAAAATTAAAAAATAATAATAAGCGGTGCAACCTCAAATGTTCAAAAGTGGTTTCAATGTACCACTTGTGGTTGGCTTTGCATGAACTGTCGCGAGCGTGCAAACTCTGGGAGAGCTTTGATCCTTCCCCACCCCACGGGGTTTTCCTTTGCCATCTGCATCTGACAGATGGGAGGCAGAAAGACCAGGTGAAGGAATGCATGCTTTCGTTTCCCAAGGGCAGCAGCACTGGGGCTAACACCCAGGGGACTTAAATTCCCCGCCGAGTCCAGAGTGCTTGCTGCAAGCTGGCACGCACAAGTGTGTCCCTATTACTGCAACCTCGCACGCACAAGCGTGTCCCTATTTTCAGCCCGGATCAGGTCGCTTCCAGATCAGCTTTATTCTAGATCCCGAGTCACACGGTTACAGGGATTTTCCACTCCCACCGCCTCCCTCGGCAGAGTAATGTTTCCCCCAGGTCCAGTTTCTCCCCTGCGAGCCGTTCCCGCGCTTTTCGCTGCTCGGCGCTTACCCGGCTTCTTCTCGGCCCCCTCGCGCGACGACATCTCAGGACCACACTCGGCCTCCGCACCCCCAACAGCCGCGGGGACTTTTCCATCTCCCCAGAGGACGAGGAGCAGGTACCGATCCATACTCTCCTAGCCGAATCCCCTCAGCCATCCAAAAAAAAAAAGTCTCGGTTTTCCCATCCAAACAACCGCGCGCTGCTCGAGGACTTCCGGTTCCCTGACAACTGAAGTCGGCTGGAAACTGGGACGGGCGCAGTTGGTTTTTCCATACCATTTCGAACCATCGGGTGTTTTTCGGGAGTTAACGCTCACGGCGTGATCATCTCCTTTCTGAAGCTCGCTGCCTGGGGGGAAATGAGAGGGGACCCAAGAAAAGGAGAGGAAACAGGCGAGCGCTGCCCGACCCCGCTCTAGGAACTCTTATGCTCGCGTGTCTGCGTTTCCGGCCGGGCCAGTGATGCTGCGGGACGGGGTCGTGGGAAAAGGACGTGCAGCCTAAGGTTTCGGCTGGGGAAGCATGTCGAGTTTCTCCAAAGTGAACCAGGTGAGCTCGTGTTGCATGGAATTTATTATTCTGCTCCAAGAAGCTTTGCGACCTAGAGCATTTAGTGACGCTGACTTAGAGAGGAAGCCGAGATCTGGGGCTCGGAAGGACCAGCGCAGAGGAAAGGGTCGTGGCTGTGGCCACCCCTGCGGGCTGTCAATCTCGGGGGCTTCGCTTTCCAGCGCTGCCCTTGCCCTGTCGTTTGATCCAGGAAAGAGCATTGGGAGAGAAGACCCCCGGGGTGATCAAGGAAATCACACAGGGCATCGCAGAGCGCTGTTTCTGCCCCCCAGGACACGGAGGTCGCTGGCTGGTGGAGTGAGGGACGTTACGACCCCGGGGACTGAGCGAGGCGGCTTCTGAGTCGGGAGTGGGCTTTGCAGACACGCGAGCTTGCACGGTTGCGCCGCTGCAAGCCCGTGGTCTCTCTGGAGGAGCGAATCCAGGCCTCTCCCAGCGCCAGCAATGTGCCACAGGCCGAAAGAGGGAAAATTGAGGCTGAAGCACGTTTAGATCTTGAAAAAAAAAAAAAACACCCGGATTTTCGACCTAAAATGTGCCTTCGTTGCTTGTATGCCCTATATCAGATAAGGATTCTTTAAAATTACTTCCAATGCCATTTCTTAACCATAATCTCCAATGCCAATTGTAGCTAAAGAAAATTTAACCGCAATTTCTTAATATCAAGTACGGGTTTAAATTTTCAGTTTTATCATATACATTACAGTACAGTTGCAATTCCCGGCACCATTTGATCCCCCGGTCATCACCAGATGCCGACCTAAACCCCCCCACTGAGCACACCAGTATCTCTGGAGTGGCCCAGGTAACCCCTATCACCGCAGAGTCTGAGCAGCATCCTTAAGCCCTTGCATTGGACTAACAACCCACTTGGCCAAGAATTTTTGTGGGTGGTGGGACCCCCCTCTCCACCCCCACCCAGGACCTTCTGAGCATTGCTTTGAAGGTCTAAAGAACAGGAAGAAAACAGAAGTAGAAGTTTTATGAACTGATTTGAGATTAGTGATAAAAATTTTAAATAAAATCAAGTAACCTGGCTCTGAGTTGGAGCGATAGCATAGCGGGTAGGGCGTTTGCTTTGCACAAGGCCGATCTGGCCGACCCAGGTTCAATTCCTCCGCCCCTCTCAGAGAGCCGGGCAAGCTACTGAAAGTATCTCGCCCACCCAGCAAAGCCTGGCAAGCTACCCGTGAGGTATTCAGTATGCCAAACACAGTAACAAGTGTCACAATGGAGACGTTACTGGGCCCATTCGAGCAAATCGATGAACAGGACAGTGACAGTGACAACCTGGCTCTGTTTTCCATAGCACTGTTTAGTTGCTTTATACATGCAAAGAGGAAAGCATTGGGTCAAGATCTTTCAGGGACTGAAATTTTCGTAGATTTCTTTATGCAGTGAGGAGTACTGTGAAAAATGCCCAAAAGTGTGTGTGTGTGTGTGTGTGTGTGTGTGTGTGTGTGTGTGTGTGTGTGTTGGTGGGGGAGGGAGGGAGAGAGAGAGTAAGAAAAGCACCTGCCAAAGAGGCAGGTAAGGGGTGGGGAGTGATGGGAAGGAACCTAGCAATACTGGTACTGGGAAATGTACACTGCTGAGGGATGGGTGTTGGAATATTGTATGACTGAAATTTAATCATGAATGACTTTGTAACGCTCTAAATAAAAAAAAATTTAAAAAGTACTATGAAAACATTGGCATATCTAACATACAGCCCAGAGGTATCTAAGGCAGCTTTTGTGTTTGGGGGCCACACCTAGTGGTGATCAGGGCTTACGCCTGGCTCTGTGCTGTAGGATCACTCCAGCAAGCAAGCACCCTACTCACCAGAGTATCTCTCCAGCCCCCAATAGTGCTTTCGAATATTGGGGTTGAGGGGTGGTGGTGGTGGCACACCAACTGTGCTCAGAGATTATTCCTTTGCTGTGCGTTCAGGGGTCACTCCTGGCAGGGCTCCGGTGACCATATCTGGTACTGGAGATCATATCTCGGTCAACTGCATACAAGGCAAAGCACCCCATCTATTGTACTGTCACCCCAGTTCCTAGAGCAGCTCTTAAAAATTTAAGTTCATTTAATGTGTTCCATCTCTATATTTTTTCTGCTATTTAATTCTCCCTTGGAGTTGACTTCTGAGTAGTCCATAGTTTTAATTGACCCCTTCTCTTTCAATAAAATATATCTGCTGCTTTCAAAAAATTGTCAAAACCTTTGCTAACAAAACCTTTTCTACTTTCCTAAGAGCCTCTCATCACCCGTCCATATTTTTTGCATGATACCAAAAACTGTCATAGGATTTAAGTAAGGGTCTGTGTCTTTGGGATAAGTAACAGGAGAGGAAAATAGATCTTTGAAATTTTAAAAAATAAAGCATGATCATATTGCTCATGGGAACTTGTGGGGGGAGGATTGTGTTAATCTTTGAGAATCATGAGAAAAGATGCCTGCTCCCTCTTTTTCCAGAAATAAAAATGAGGCAAATAAGCATGCAGAAATTTATTTAACGGCCAAGTGTTTCTTTCAAGTCATTTAGCATTAACTCCAGAATAAGTGTGATGGTATATAACACTCTTTATCACTGTCCTTAATTACACTTTTCTTTATTGTTTCCTTTTTTCAAGCAATGGGCCACTTTTGCTCGAGTTTGGTATCTCTTAGATGGAAAAATGCAGCCCCCAGGGAAGCTTGCTGCTATGGCATCAGTTAAACTTCAAGGATTGCATAAGCCAGTGTACCATCAACTCAGTAAGTATCATGAGTAGCTCTAATTTTTATTACGTGAATTTTTCATCCAATGTAATTTTCACTTATTCACTTAATCACTTAACTTCCCGTTAGTCGTCGATTTGCTCGAGTGGGCGCCAGTAACGTTTCCATTTGTCCCTGTCGCGTGCTAGTGTAGCCCAATGGTATCTGTTCGCTCCGGGAACATGAAGGGCCTCAAACCGATCATTCATGATCTTGACGAAGAAGTCTGACCATCTGGAAGGTGGGCGGCCACGTGGTCTTTTCACATCCCGTGGAATCCAGTCGGTAATAGCTCTAGTCCAGCAGTCATCTTTAAATCTCATTACGTGACAAGCCCATCTGATTTTCGACACCTTGGCAAATGAGACAGCGTCCCTGATTCTTGATCGTCGACGGATGTCAGAACTCCAGATTCTTTCTCTCATTTGAGTGAAACGTGATATTCCAAGCATAGCTCTTTTTATTCTTCTTTGGGAGACCTGAATAGCATTCTCATCTTGTACTGTTGCGGCAACATGGGAAGATGCCATTGTTGACAACATTGACAGGAATACGATCGACTGGTTCAGCACCTCCATGAATGTGCGAGGAACGCCAAGAGAGAGATAGCCACAAAAAATCGCCTATCTTCGAAAACTCTTGAGCTAATTCGCCAGCGTGGTTTGGCGCATGCCTCAGGCAACCGCAAGCTAACGTCCGAGCTCGCAAAGCAGTGCAGAGATGCGATCAAGGAAGACCTCAAAGAGAGAAGAGCAGAAGTACTGGTAGATGCGGCAGAAGCCGGGAAAAGTATTCGTAACGCCCGCCTGTCCTTCGCCAACTATAAGACCAAGATGACTGCCCTCCGACGTCCTGATGGATCCATCACATGCTCCAGAACGGCAATGGAGAAGATTATCCATGACTTCTACTCAAATCTCTTCGGTAGCCATGTCCACTTGCCGACATACCAAATTCCACAGGATGGATATGTCGTTCCCAACGTTCTCCCTTCCGAAATCCGACACGCCATTTCGTTGGTAAAGAAACAAACAGCACCCGGCCCAGACAAGGTCAGACCTGAACACCTGAAGAACCTGCCATCAGTACTCATCAATACACTGGCTCGGCTCTTCACTCGCTACCTGTCTGAATGCAAGGTTCCGTCCCAATGGAAAACCAGCAGGACCGTACTACTGTTCAAGAAGGGAGACATCCATGACATTGGCAACTATCGCCCGATCTGCCTATTGTCTGTCATCTACAAGTTGTTCACTCGAGTCATCCTAAATAGGATTGGCAGAACACTAGATGAAGGACAACCATGCGAGCAAGCAGGGTTCCGCAAAGGATTCAGCACCGTCGACCATATTCACACAATAACCAAGCTCATTGAGATTTCTCGGGAGTTCAAGATGCCATTCTGTTTAACGTTCATTGATTTAAAGAAGGCCTTTGATTCTGTTGAGACGGAAGCGGTCATTGAAGCCCTAGCCAATCAGGGCATTCAAGCCCAATACATCAGGATCCTCCATGAGCTGTATTGCAGATTCACTACCAGGATCTCACCATTCTACAAAGAAGTGATCGTTGATGTCAGGAGAGGGGTTCGGCAGGGTGATACCATTTCACCGAAACCCTCAAGAACATCATGCGACGACTGGAATGGGAAGGAATGGGAGTGAAGATAGATGGTCGGCAACTACACCACCTCCGCTTTGCTGATGACATTGTTTTAATAACACCAAACATCAGCCAAAAGGCACAAATGCTGGCCGACTTCGACCGTGAGTGTGGAAAGGTCAGACTACAGCTGAATCTTACGAAGACAATGTTTATGAGAAACAGCCTCGTTCCTGACGCCCCATTCGCTCTCAACAGAACGACCATCTCCGAATGCAACAGCTATGTGTACCTAGGTCGAGAGGTCAACATGACAAATGACCTGGCACCCGAGCTGCGCAGGAGGAAGAGAGCGGCTTGGAACGCCTTCAAGAGCGTCGAAGAAATAGCTAAGAGGACGAAGAACCTCCGACTCTGGGCACATCTCTTTGATTCCACTGTTCTTCCTGCATTAACATATGCCTCAGAGACCTGGGCCCTATGCAATGTAATTTTAATTACAAAAATTAATTTTCATTAATATTTGTTTTGTTGTTCATTTATTTTTTAATTGAATCACCATGAGATCCACAGTTACAACGTTGTTCATGATTGGGTTTCAGTCCTCCAATGTTCCAACATCCATCCCTTCACTACCCATCCCTTCACCACTGTACATTTCACACCACTAATGTCCTCATTTACCCTTAGTTCCCCTCCCAACGCACCACACCTCTCCTCTCTCTCTCTCTCTCCCTCTCTCTCTCTCTCCCTCTCTCATCCTCTCTCTCTCATGCCTTCTGAGCAATATGGCTTTCAAAACAGTTATCATGCATATTCCTTAGAATGAGAATGACAGCACTCATTTGTGGGATATAAAAATTACGTAGTATAGAGACTAATATCCAAGGACGTAATAAACAGGGGCAGGAGGACTGTCCACAATTGGAAGTTTGCCAAAAGTATGTGTGGGGTGGAGGGCAGTTAGGGTAGAGAAGGGACCACTATGACAATAATAGTTAGAAATTATCACTTCAGACAAGAACTGAGTGCAAATCTTCATTAGATTCTTAATGGAAACTTGGGGGAGTTTGACAAGGATGCTTTTAAGGACTTTGGCTTTGTCCAAAGGATCCCTTATTCCAGTATTGGTGAAAACAAACAACAAAATGTATATAAACTCTAAAATATATTAAATTAAATATATTAAACTCTAAGAAGACAAAGAACCTCCAGCTACTAGCACATCTCTTCGATTCCACTGTTCTTCCTGCATTAACATATGCCTCAGAGACCTGGACCCTACGAAAACAGAATGAGAACGCTATTCGGGTCTCTTAAAGAGGAATCAAAAGAGCTATGCTTGGAATATCACGATTCACTCAAATGAGAGATAGAATCCGGAGTTCTGATCTCCGTCAACACTCAAGAATCAGTGACGCTGTCTCATTTGCCAAGGCATCAAAAATCAGATGGGCTGGACACGTAATGAGGTTTACAGACAACCGCTGGACTAGAGCCATTACTGACTGGATTCCATGGGACATCAAAAGATCGCGTGGATGCCCACCTACAAGATGGTCAGACGTCTTCGTCAAGACCCTGAATGATCGGTTTGAGGCTCTGCATGTTCCTAGAACGAACTGATGCCCTTGGGCTACGCTAGCATGAAACAGGGATGAATGGATGAATGGAGACGTTACTGGCACCCGCTTGAGTAAATTGATGAATAACGGGGGATCAAGTGATCAAGTGATATTAAATTTACTCATAGGAAAACCATACAGACTAGTTTGCCTGGGACAACCCCATTTATACCATCACTCTAGCAAAGTTAACAGTATTCCTCCTTTTACTTCCAGAAATACCCTGATTTGGATTATAAATTAAATTTGTTCCCTCTTATACATTCTTATCATATGACCATGCACATTTGAACACAGGACTTTTTAACTAAGGAAGTAACTCTTCTTCTCTTTTCAAAAGCCCTTCTCCCTAGAAAGTTACACAAAGCAAGCAAAGCAGGGAGAGTTTACCTTTCACTGTCTTGAATGAATAGATTTGCTTTATGTATCTTTTCCCAGATCACAACCAAAATGGTTGTTCATACACCAAGACTTGTGTTTCTATAAGTAGCTGTTTGTTTGTTTGTGGACCATGCTTATGGATGCTCAGGGCCTACTCTTGGCTCTGCACTCGTGGATCACTCCTAGTGGTGCTCCAGGAGCCATTTAAACCAAGATCACTACTCACTGCACTGTCTCTCCAGTTCCCTTCAAGTAATTTTGATTAGCTGCCCTTACCTAGACTCTACTTTGCAAAGTAGAGCAAGATGGTTTACATCTTGCTTACTCTATTAACAAGATTTGTTGCAATTGATAGCAATTTTAACTTTTTGAGAAGCAGAATATACCCAAAAAATAATATAACTATGTGTAAATGCAGGTAATATTCTAAAGAAGTTAACAATGTGGGGAACCACTTGATGTCTGGGTTGTTTCCAGTTTTTTTCACCATTGCAGACATTGTAACTGTAATCATGTACTGTGCCTCTATCTGTGCACTTGGAAAGGTTTCTCTGCACTCTAGCCGCAGGGCAGGGATGCCTGGATTCAGAGATGCTGTGCTCACACCTGCCCGTCTGCGATGCTCTAGGATTCCCATGCTCCAATGCAGTTCCAGGCATCCAAGACAGCAGACTTGCTGGGACTGTGCTCCTGTTATGCAGGTGGCACCATCAGTCACACTCACTTGTGGCTTTACACTCATCTGGCAGGTGCCACTCCCCAGGCTCCCTCTAAGGTTCCCTTGCTTGGAAGCACCCAGTAGCAATTCAGCATGGAGTTGAAGGGAAGCAGTGAGGTCACTGATCAAAAGCATAGAAATGTCGCATGCGTGGCACGAAGTCAGCAACAAAAAGGACACTTCTTTAAAATTCTAGTGTTGAACCAGAAAGGAAGAGTGTCCTTAGTCAGCCTCTATGGGACCATGTGCTTCCAGCTACACCGGGTTTTCACCATTCTGCTCCTGTTCATGCCTGATTGGGAAAGCACCACAAAAACTGGGGCTGACACATTATTGTAGAAAGGAGGAGAAACCGCAGGTATAATACCAATCTATAAAAATGAAGATCAAGTAAAATGCTTACTTTTCTCTGATCTTCAATATTTTTAAGATACTTTGTAATGGCAGGGCAGGCAAAGTCCACACCAGTTTATAGAAAAGTTGGGGACTAGGGTTTTATTTGTTTGTTTGTTGATGGCTACACTCAGCAGTGCTCAAGGCTTACTCCTGGCTCTGAGCTCTGGAATCAGTCACTCCTGGTAAGGACTCTGGGAACTGTATGTAATTCTAGGGATTGAACTTGGGTCAGCTGTTTATAAGCAAGCTCCCTACCTGTTGTACCATCACTCTGCCCATTAGCTCCTAATACTTGAGATGTCTTATTAACCATCTCATTAAGAGCTTTGAAAACTAAAATCACAAACTAAGTGACTCTCTCACTGTCTCTCAGCTGTGTTCTAGTAGATTTAGGGCTAAAAACCCACATTTGTCTCCTGTAGGGGTAAAAAACCCATTCCATTTCAGTCTGATGATTCTTAGCCATTTTTTAGGGTATGTGCCTAGTAATTTATTTCTTCATAATGGAAACAATAAGGTATTAATAATAAGATCTCTTAGGTTTTAGAATTGCACATGATGCAAAATTTGGAGAAAAGTCTAATTCATAACTCACTTAATTTCCTTCTGAAAGTATAAGAAGACTATTTTAATTATTGTATTGTTGTTGTCAATTATTGTAATCACAGGAAATCTTCCTTAACTACTGATGAACAAACACTCTTAGAATCCCATAACTTTTGTGGTTACCTGTTCTTCTTTAGGAATGGAAAATTGGGGTAGCAGCGATAGCACAGTGGGTAGGGTGTTTACCCTGCACATGGCTGACCTGGGTTCGATCCCTGGCATCCCATATGGTCCCCCAAGCACCGCCAGTAGTAATTCCTGAGTGTAGAGCCAGGAATAACCCCTGAGCATCACTGGGTGTGACCCAAAAAGCAAATAAATAAATAAATAAAAAGTATCTTATTTAAAAAAAGACAGAGAGAATGGAAAATAGCTCCTCTCTGAAACTAGAAATATGTTTTTAAAGACTAATTTGCAATTTTGTTTCACTATATGTAATACAGAACTCATACCAGCAAAACTTTTCATGTCCACAAGATGTCACTAAAATCAAAACTTAAATTGCAAGTTACTTTTCTAAAATTTGAATTTTGTTTTTATGAAGTTGTTCACAGTAGTTCATTACAGTTAATATTCAAACACCAATTCCACCACCATGCACCTTCTCCCCACTATAAGAGAAACAATGTCAAGATTGATATGTTTCATCCTGGAGCCATATAAGCCCCTGTATAAGAGATCACAAGCACACATTCTTTTTTTTTTTTATTCACAATAGTCAGGACCGACTGACCCATGTTCAACTGCTGTTCACATGGAACCCTTCTCTACTTCGGCCTTCAAAGTTCTCGTTTGAATATTTGCTGGAGCGATAGCACAGCGGTAGGGCGTTTGCCTTGCACGCAGCCAACATGGCTGACCCGAGTTCGATTCCTCCGCCCCTCTCGGAGAGCCCGGCAAGCTACCGAGAGTATCTCGCCCGCACGGCAGAGCCTGGCAAGCTCCCCGTGACGTACTCGATATGCCAAACACAGTAACAACAAAGTCTCCAATGGAAACGTTACTGGGCCCGCTCAAGCAAATCGATGATCAACGGGAGGGCCTTTACTTTTACTTATTCACAATAGTGAAAATATTTTGATCCAAATATGTGTTTTGAACCAAAAAATATAATTATCTACTTATGGTTTGTTTTTTTTTTAATTAGTGAATCCCCGTGAGGTACAGTTACAGGCTTACTAACTTTTGTGCTTGCATTTCAGTCATACAATGATCGAGTACCCATTCCTCCACTGGTGCCCATTTCCTACCACCAATGGTCCCAGCATCCCTCCCGCCACCCCCACTCCATCCCCTCCACCCTACCCCGCCTCTGTGGCAGGACATTTCCTCTTGCTCTCTTTTTGGGTGTTGTGGTTTGCAATAGAGGTATTAATTGGCATTATATTTGGTCTATAGTCTACTTTCAGCCCACATCTTCCATCCCGAGCGGGTCCCCCTGACACCCTTTACTTGGTGGTCCCTTCTCTATCTGAGCTGCCTTTTTCCCCAGCATATGCGGCCGGCTTCTAAGTTGTGGAGTGATCCTTCTGGTACTAATCTCTACTATTCTTGGGTGTTAGTCTCCCATTCTGTAACTTTTCATTTAGTATGATACTTTCCATGTAGAACCACTTGTTTGCAAATTTCACGACTTCATCTTTTCTAATAGCTGCATAGTATCCCATTGTGTAGATGTACCAAAGCTTCTTTAACCAGTCATTTGTTGTCGGGCACTTGGGTTTTTTCCAGATTTTGGCTATTGTGAACAGTGCTGCAGTGAACATATAAGTGCAGATGTCATTTCTACTATTACAAGCACATATTCTTAAACCCAAACAAATGTGTGCTACTTTTGGTACATCAGTGGACTAGAGTATAAGCGGCTATGTGCTCCAGGACGTTCTATGTTGCTGTTTCCAGGAGTCGTTATTTCAGTCTCTGGATCTTAGCTTTTGATGAGATTATATGGCACACAGGAGGTGGGGGTGGGGGGACAGTTTGTGGTTGTGACTGCCAAGCTATTGGAAAACTAGGGAGCTGGGGAGTCTTTTCTCACTATACTTGGAGCAAAATTGAAGGAATTATGGGAAGACTGATAATTATTTGGAATTTGATCTTTCTGTCCGAATTGAATTTTATGAGTAAGATTTAACTTACTCATAAAGATGAAATGAAGATAAATCAGGAGAACCTTTCTAGAGAAAGGACCAAAGATTTCATGACTTACGTTTGCATTCCTGTGTGTGCTGTTTCAATGAGAGAGAGAAGCAGAAATAATGGGATCATGATAAGTAGCAAATGTGAGACCTCTAGCAAACCTGTTTCTTCCTTGAAACAGGCTTTAGCCCCTTCAGCTACAACTGTCCAGAAAAATGCTTGTGATTTCAGCATTCTTTGAGCCTTAGCTTGCTGTCTTCTCACTGCCTTTATTCGTTCCTCCATTTCATTTCCCTGGCTGCCCTAGCAGCCCACCCCATGTCACTTTGGGAACTTACGCATTCCTGGTCAGCCTTCCCACATCGACAGGCTTCCCACATTCCTTTACACCCTTGCTTTATCCTCTTTCTTGATCCTTCTTTCCCTTGTCCTCTATGAAATAGGAACTTTCTGGAAACCTACATTCAAGTTCAAGCTCTGCATGGGTACTGTAAACTGTACTATAGTTTTTATGTGCTATACTGTAGTGTCATGTGCTGTGCTTTGGTCCCCTCAGTGGTATTTTTTTCTTAAGGAGACTTCTGAATCTTTTATTGGTAGAATAGACAATAAATGTTTCTGCTTAATTCACATTGTCCTTTATAGTGATGTTTGAATACTTAAATATGAACTGTTTTTGTTGTTGTTTGCTTTAGAATGAACAGCCAAACTTAGGAATTTTTATATTTATTTATATACTAGAAAGTCAATCCAATGCGTATATTTTGATTTTCAGGTCATTTCATTTATTCTTTCAAATATGTGTGTAATCATATTTGAGAGTGGCAGCTTTAGTTTAACTAGTTAAATGTGGATGGGGGAAATCTGTGTTAGTAGTTAAGCATAAAAATCATAATGCTCTATTGTTCTCTAAAATTGTTAAGACTAACCAATTGTGATATTTTACATATGTTTTCAATTTGCCTATTGGCAAAACATACTTTTTCTCTCATATGTATGCATGTTCTTTTCATTTTATCTTCTGTTTGTAAGAAAAAATTGTGTTAGATATTTAAAAGGTACTCATTATAAACAGTAAGGTAATTATTTATGGAGAGAGATAATGGAAGTGCAGTAGTTTACCATTAAAGAAGTATTGTTATTGTTGGCGTCTTTATTGCATTCTGTTTAACCGTTCAGCATTGAGATTTTCCAAGAAGCCAGCCAGCCAGCTATTTCTATACTTAGATGTCGTGTGAAAAAGAAATCTGTTCAAGAATTTTTTTTGTTGTACTATAAATTGTTTTATTATTTTTAATGTGTTTGGACTTTTATAAGTTTTATATATAACCAAGTTTATTTTTTCTTAAAGTTGTGATATCTTATTTAAAACATGTTTTTAATCTAGGTGATTGTGGGGATCATGTTGTCATAATGAATACAAGACACATTGCGTTTTCTGGAAACAAATGGGAACAAAAAGTGTACTCCTCACATACTGGGTAAGAGACTCCTCACTTTATCAAGAGAGATAGGCACGTGAAATGTATTACTTTAAGAATAATATTGATCTTATTTTAAAAGAAAAATACTTAAAAAAATTAGCCTTTAGGAAAATACTTTTTTTTCTCTTCTAACATATAAGATTTACTCAAACACAAAATTATGCCCACTGCTACTTATTACAGGAGAGTCTTTTTCCTGAAAACTTTTTACAAAACCTCTCTAAATCAAGTTTGTTGTTTGTTTTTAAGTCAGCCTTTTACTCCTTTCTTTTTGTTTCCTGTAAGCCATGTTTTTTGCTTTTTCCAGAGTCATCCTGAACATCTCTAAGTACTAATGGAATGATGAGAAAAATCCCAGGTTTGAAGGATACTTAGAATCTTGATGATATTCCTTTCAAATTATAGGCTTTTCTACCTTTATTTTTCTCATAGTTCCTGAGGTGGCACATTCATTTCACCTTTGAGATGGTGTAAATTATTTTTAAAATCTCTATGCTGTTGTATTTCTCTAGATTTTATATTGATCTCTTTGAGACAGTACAAAATACATTGTAAAATATAAATCACTATAAATAATTAGAATTATATACTTTAATATTTCTATCAAGTTATAAATATTGGGCTCAAGTGATAGCACAGCAGGTAGGGCATTTGCCTTGCACGTGGCCAACCCAGGTTTGATTCTTCCACCCCTCTCGGAGAGCCCGGCAAGCTACCAAGAGTATCTCACCTGCACAGCAAAGTCTGGTGAGCTACCCGTGATGCATTCGATATGCCAAAAACAGTAACAACAAGTCTCACAATTTGTTATGAGACGTTACTGGTGCCCACTTGAGCAAATCAATGAAAAATGGGAGGACAGTGTTACAGTGCTACAGTTATGAATATTAAATTAATATCTATAATATCTAATTATTGATCTTAATATTCTCTTCCATATAAAATCCTTCAGATAATTTCAAGACAATTGTTTCAGGTGCCCATTGATTATTTACTTCAAAGTTCTTTATGGACTTTGCTTCAAATACGCATATTATCTTGGTTATTCTTTCATGCTCATTGCTTATAAGTCATCATCAGTATTTTTGTGGTTTCTTATTGGTTGGTTGCAATTTCTTTTTTAACTAAATACTAGAACTTAATGTTCTAGTGATTTTCTAGGAAAAATTGTTTCTTTGAATTTTGTTGCATTAGAACTTTTCTTCAAGACAGTCTCCCCACACGGAAAAGCCTGGCAAGCTGCCCGTGACATATTCGACTCACAGTCTCACTTTGTGATACAGTAAATTCACAATCAGCTATAACTCCAGAGTTTTTTTCAGCAATTTTTAACTCATAGTTCCTTCAAAATTCAGTTTAACTTTTTCAACAGTGTCTCCTTTCTGTGCGTTTCCAGTATGGTCTTGATTTCAGAATCAGATGGCGTGCCTCCATTTTCCCCCAACCTGACTATAGACTTTTCAGACATTTTTAATTCAGAGTGTCATAAGCACCTCAGAGTGAAAGAATGAGTGCCTGCTGAATCATTTTCAATTCTATAGAATTCTATAAATTCTATGAAATTAAAGAATTGGTCTATAATTCAACAAATTATAGACTGTGGGAGTCTGTAGAATTGTATAGCATTATGGTGAGAAATTTTTCAAGATGTGGAGTTCTTTATGACAGAAAGAGTTGGCTACTTAAGAGGATGGCATTTCAAATATCAGAGGTTATTGTTTACTTTTTAAGACATTAGAGATCAGTTTTCAGAAACAAGTATAGCTTTATAATAAAATGACATTATGTGTGCTTCTACGCTCTGGCTGTGGAACACATGTGTCTGTATGTGCAAGGTCCTAAGTTTGATTCCCAGTACCACTGCCCTATCCTTCACCCCCTGAGACCACTGCATTGCAGGACCAAGCATCACTGGGCTTACTCCCAGCCACGGCACTTTTGAGCATCACCCATATTGAAAACATTCAAAAGGAGAGGGGGGAAATAAGTTTACATTCTACAAGACTATTTAAAAACTACTCTACTGAGTCCCACTTTTTATTTTCTGCTCTAACAGCTACCCAGGAGGATTTAAACAAGTAACAGCTGCTCAACTCCACCTGAAGGATCCAGTGGCTGTGAGTTTATTCTCTTTCCTGTTGTTTATCGTCTCTGCAGCAACTTATCCAGACACTGCTTTTTCTGTTTTCCTTCTCTATGGTAGCCAGCATTCAGAGCTGTGAGCTCTTCACTCTGATGGTGGTACTCAAATTTTGAAAAGTTTTATTTCGTCACCGTTCAATTTTGTGTATTTTCTGATTCGTACTTTTTGGCATTCAGTGAAAAAACTTTGAGGCTTCTTAATTTCTTACACCTGTGTAATCATTTTGAACATGGTATGTTTGCTGAAAATGGCTTGGAAAGATGTCTGTCTGGATGTTTACATATATAGTCTCAGATATGCTAAGTGTAGTTTTCCAATTTTCTGACTTTTTTTTGTCCAGTTAATTTACCAGTTATGCAAAAGAATTAGACTTTCCGTTGAGGGAGGTATTAATTTTTCATTGTAGTCGCTTGGCTTTTGCTTTGTTTTGAAGATTGAGTATTATAGAAATCTAAATTTGGAAACATAATCTTGTCAGTGGTTTTTGCCCTTGCTACATCTATGGACCTGTAGTTGAAAACCAGTGTTAAGCAGTAGTACCATTCTTCAGAACTGTCAGGAAATTTCTTGTTGGCACCAGACCACAGACCGTCCAATCAAAACCTCTAAAGTATGTAAGTGACCCTTTTACTTATTTATATTTGTTTTATTTGATTCAGAGTCCATATATGGTGGTGCTCGAAGTTTACTCCTGGCTCTGTGCACCAGGTTCACTACTGTTGGGACCCAGGGGACCTTATGCAGTAACAGGGATCAAAATAGGTATGCCTGCTTGCAAGGCAATCACCTAAAGCCCTGTACTACCTCTTCATCCTGCTGTACTTGGCTCTTTTAATGTCCACTGATGCCTTTAGCCTTAGGGCTTTTAAAATAGGAATCCATCCATATGAACTGTCCTTTTATGGTGTTGTTGAGTGTATTGTTTATGGTTTAAAACTTATTGTGGCAAATTTTCCTTTTTCTCACCTTTTTCAGGGATGCACACACTTTGTTTAATTAGAGGTCTAAGATTGATCAATATTTCCACATTCCTCCAAATCAGATCAAGACCCTTTGATTATTTCTAACACCTGTTCTTCCACTTTATATGCTTGCTTTGAAATTTTTTAACTTTTACAACATAGTATTATTTTTACTGTTTCATACCATTGTTGGGCTGGAGTGATAGCACAGCAGTAGGGCGTTTGCCTTGTGCGCAGCCAGCTCGACCTAGCTGGGTTCTATTCCTCCACCCCTCTCGGAGAGCCCGGGCAAGCTACCAAGAGTATCTCGCCCGCACGGCAAAGCCTGGCAAGCTCCCCGTGACGTATTCAATATGCCAAACACAGTAACAACAAGTCTCAAAATGAAGACGTTACTGGCCCTGCTCGAGCAAATAGATGAACAATGGGAGGACAGTGTGACAGTGCGTGACATACCATTGTTGATATACTGGGGTTTTTTTAAATTTTAATCTCTTCATGTAACTTAACCTTCCTATTGCAATCATTTTTCTTTACCTTGAAGTATTTCTTATTCGATGTCATAACAATCTCTTAATAGGGAATTCTTGCCTTTATTCCTTTTTTTGCAATAATTTTATTTTATTTTTTTTTAATTGTATTTTATTTTATAAAGTAGTTCACAATATTTGATTACGTGTACTATTCGAACACCAATCCTACCACCATTACACCTTCCCACTACCATATTTCGAACCCCAACCTCTGCTGCCAAAGCAGAACTGAAATAATTTATTTTGTATTATTTGTTATAAATAATCCACTAAAATGATCCAAAAAAGATTTCTTAGAGGAATGTGTGTGAAGATTCTTGTATTTCACCCAGGAGCCATTAAGCCCTTCTATAAGAGATCACTAATATGTTATTAAAGCTTGAGCCTTGTGTGCATCAGTAAAAATATATTTTCCCCCTAAGATTAGTTGCTTTCTACTTTAAACCTCATCAAATGTGGTATGCTACTCTTGGAAATAGTAGGTGGTATAAAGTAAGAGATGGCCTTACTTTATGGAGGCATGACTATGTCGAATCATTCTGTGCTCTCTTTTGAGAGATTTGTTGAGTCTCTGGATTATTACCATTGATGAGATTATATGGCATCAGCCAGAGATGACTCGTGGGGGTGACTGCCAAGTTGCCGGAAATGGGGAGATGGGGGAAGGTTACCCATTCCCAGTTCCCTTGAACCTGGAATTTTCAGTCACAAGTTTTGCCTACCTGGGTTTTCTGTGGATTCACTCATGGGTGAGACTTGACCCAAGCATGTTGCCTTCATTCTTGAAAAACAGTTTTTGTTCATATATGCACTTCTAGAAAATTTTTTTTAAAAATTTGTCCTTGTTGCTATTGATGTCATATGTGACTTTTGTTTGTTTGTTTGTTTTTTGCTTTTTGGGTCATACCGGCAATGCACAGGAGTTACTCCTTGCTTTGCACTCAGGAATTTCTCCTGGTGGTGCTCAGGGAACCATATGGGATGCTGGGAATCCAACCCAGGTCGGCTTTTATTAGTTACCCTTTGCTTGTTACCTTTAGAAATCATTATAGTAGAGTATCTCATTTTTTTTTAATTTATGATCATACTGTGGGTGAGATACTCTTGGTAGCTTGCAGGGCTCTCCAAGAGGGGCAGAGGAATCTAACTCGGGTCGACCGATGGGTTGGCCGCATGCAAGGCAAACACCCTATTCTCTGTGCTCAACCACCCACACGGCAAAGCCTGGCAAGCTGCCCGTGTCGTATTCGATATGCCAAACACAGTAACAAGAAGTCTCACAATGTTACTGGACCCGCTCGAGCAAATCGATGAACAATGGGAGGACAGTGAAAGTGATCAATACAATACTTATATTCTCTTTCATATTTTATGCCATTGTGCTGATATACCATGATATACTGTGTTGTACTTTTTACCCATGACTACTCTAGTCAGTGCTTTTACTGAGCTATTGGTTTTACTCATTATATTGTCCACCTTGCCCTGAAATATCATTTGTTTCTTTTTCAAGTTTACTTTGGTCAGTTTCGATCACCTGTGTGCTGTTTTCATACCTCAATTTCCTCCTTTTTTTAAAGCACGTTAAACATTCTTATCAGCATTTCTCTGTGATTCTAATATCTGTCATATTTGTGGTTCTGCACTTTGTTTCTGATTAGGATATTGGTAAACTTACTTCAACATAGAGAGACAAGTGTTAAAAACTGAATTTCTGCAGGATCAGGGAGATGACGCAAAATATAGAGCACATGTCTGTACTGAACCCCAGGTTTGATCCAGAGCACTGTGTTCCCCCCCCCCCCCCCCAGTGCCACCACATGCTGCCATGGTGACCTCAATGTTTTTGGTTTTTGGGTTTTGTTTTTTTAAAAAAGGAGATCCTGCGGGGGGGGGGGGGGGGGGGGGGAATTAAAAAAGCATTCTTAGCATCCAAAAGGCACATGAGCAGTACCATTCCAAGATCTCTTAAGAAGCCTAACTTCAGACTTCTGAACCTCACAGAAGCAGAATTAATTTGGGGCCACACAGATATTCATAAGGTCAGACTTACCTAAATAAAAGAGAAATGGCTTTTCTCTTTTTCTGTTCCAGTTCTGCTCTCTGGCTGTTATTCCTGAGAATCTAGGTTTATGATAGTCTTTGCTTCTCCTTCCTTCAGCTCAAATAAAGGTGACCTATTATTCTAGTCACAAAGATTGCATGGAAGGGAAGTAAAGACTTAAAAGCTGCTAATAGTAGATATTATTACTACCATAACATCTCAGTTTAGTACTTTGCAATTTATTTCATCTGAGTGAGATATCTGTACACTAGGCGGCAGTATTGTCCAATTTTTGGATGTTAAAACTGTGGCATTGAAATAACATTAGTTGAAATTATTTCATGACGGTCATTTTTTAATGAAAAAGGGGAAGAAGCAATGCAGGATATTTGATGAAGGCTTAGAAACTATGTCAGAGCTAACCCCATTCAAATGTTCCACCTAGCTGCAAGAGTTTAATCTTTAATTTTCTTGGTACGAAGAGCCTCAAGTTGTTACCTGACTTTGAGTTTCATCCTTAGACAGATCTCACCATCTTTTAAATCTTACCTTTGACTCTATGTTTTTGGAAAAGAATGGCTTGTAAGATGAAGCCAATTATTCTTCTAGCAATTCAAACATGAGGTGTTTATCTGAAATGGTAGATGATCTTCTGCCAACAGACAGTTTGCTAATCAGCAACTAATTGATGATAAGAGAATGTATTTCATAATACATCTTTTGCTTATCAGTACAGCTTTGGAATATTATTTTTAAAATATGTAAACATTTCAATGGTTATTAGGAGGCCAGAGAGATAATACAGAGAGTAAGAGTACTTTCCTTGCACAAGGCCAACTTGGGTTTGATCCCCGGCACTATATATGGTCCCCTGAACTCTACCATTTGTGGTCCCAGAGAACCAAAATAAATAACTAAACGGTCATTAAATATTTCAGATGTAGATCCATATTCTGACACTCAAATGTATGGATTCAGTAATTTTCTTACATCCTTTACTTCCCTGTTATGTATTTTAGTGGTTTTTGAGTTTGTTTGTACTCTTGGTTTCTTTCTTATTTCTCCCTCCTATATAAAGGAATTGTGTGTAAAACAAATGATAACCAGCCCTAGTAACAGATTATGTGAGAAAGGCCTTTACTACCTATAGTTAAACTGTACCTTAATTGTCTTTCTCACTTTTTGAATTTGTAAGAGCTTATGCTGAAGTCTGTAAAGCTAGAATTCCTTTATTGGGTGGGCACATTGTGTGACATTTGTTCTGTGCATGTTTGTATACCTGATTTTCTCTCCCCTATCAGTTTGTTACCTTTTTACATTTTATAGCTTTTTCTGATTTGAGTGCTATCTTTGCAGTTATTTTTCCTAATAAGGCAAACTTTTTTTAGGAAAGATAACTTATTTATCCAAGTAAGTACCACTAAATTTTAAGAACACAAAAACCAAATGTAAGTTACCCTACTAATACAATAAGGTTGGCATTATGGTTTTGGTAGTGAGAAGAATTTTGTTTCCGGCCAAGTCCTGGAGAGAAATGCATTATAGGTACGACTACTTATTCTATGGCAGCAAAACAGCCTGGTGTTCCTGTACCTCTTTTCTTAGGTATCTGAGATGTAGCATGTTCCTCCACTTTCCTTTCTCTGTTTCCTCATCCGAATTGGGGTTCAACATCACAAGAGAGACAGATGAAATGAACAATCTACTACTGTACACAAGAAGTTTTCCATGAATATTGCCACTGGTGACTTAGAGAGTCAATATCATAACCATTTGCTCAGTCTTGTTAGAAATGGGAAATCTGCTCTCTCACCTGGAGGAAAAGAATCACGGTCTCCCTTGCATCTCCTCCAATAAGGTTGTAGTACCTTGGGCCACCAATTTTAAAGAAACAGCCAGTTTTTTCTTACTTAACCTAAAATTGGCACACACTTAGATTATTTCTGTCTTCCTCTTGTCCTTTTCTAAATAAAAGTGGGATATGATGAAAATAATAATGTACAAAAGAGATCTTTTTTTATATCACCACATTCTTACTTAGGTGTCTGTTTCCTTCCTTTTTCGTATTAAGCCTTGATGCACCTGTTCTCATCACTACTTGAGTTGCCTTCTTTATCTCCCAACTCCTATTTTCTTCCTGAACTCGGTGTATGTCTCTGTTTTTCAGATTGTGAAGCTAGCTATTTACGGCATGCTGCCTAAAAACCTTCACAGGAGGACCATGATGCAGAGATTGCATCTTTTTCCAGATGAGGTAAGTCTGTGGCCATTAGTAATAAAGATTTTTTGAAATGTTCAACAAAATTTTTCTTCTTTTTTAAAAAAATAATTGCAGTAGACTTATCTTCAATCACTTTTTAAAGTCAACTCAAATATTTTCTGTTTTTTAGTGAATGCCCTATAATAGTTGCTCCTCTTTTAAATCGTGCCATTAGCCATTAGACTCAAACTTCCTAAGCCTTAAAGTTCTGTATTTTCATTTTAACAATGCTTTCTTTTGAACAAAGAACTAGTGACCAGAGCCTCTGTTCATCTAGAGCACTTACTGTTTTTACCAGCAATAATTTTTAAAAGCATGTACTTGGTTAATGTTTTTGTATCACCAGTAGCAAAACTTCTGTGAATCATGGTTAATGACTTTGGCTGTTAATTATTTCCATAATGTAACTTTCGAATGCCTGATCTTATGTAAAACTTATTCAGCTAAAAAGTACAACATTCCCACCCCCATTCTCTGTCAAGAAAAAGTACAAGTGGTAGGGTGCTTGACGTAATACCGACCTGGGCTCAATCTCTGGCACTACATATGGTTCTCTGGTTCCCTGAGCCCTACCAGGAGTGATCCCTGAGCACAGGTAGCAGTAAGGCCCAAGCACCACCGGGTGTGGGCCAAATTCATCTTTCATTCAACCCTCGCCCCCCAAAAAGTACTCTTAAAGATAAAACATTTTTATTTCTGTTATGCTGTTTTGATTACTTAGCTTTTCTCTTGAGTGTAAAGTAATGGATGGAGCCTTAGATGTTCTAAAATAAAAATAGTTGAGTCCAGGTATAGATTCATTCTGGATTCAAATTTATGCCCCATTATTTGCTGATTTCATGATTATGAGCTAATTACTGTCTCAGTGTTCTTGTTTGCGAAATGGGTAAAATACAAATACTTGCTTCATAAGTTTTTGGTAAAGATTAATGAGATGACATTTGTAGTACACTTAGAACAGGGTCTAACATAATACTTGTACTCATTACCATGGATCTGATTGTTGGTGTTACAGTTCTAACTAGACGAGTAATGTAGAAATTCATTCCAGGATACAAAGTTACATCAGCCATTCAAGTCACTAATGAGCTTTTATTAGTTTTAAAAATGCAGACATAAATTCTTTCTTTTATCAAATTGGTTAATTTACTAGCTTAGTTTTGCTTGAATGACTGGAATAATTTTTTACTATTCACTTTACAAGTATAAAAAGACCAAAAAAAAATAATTACTGTTGTAAGTAAGCCTGGTTTGAGTGAAGATGTCTTAAATGTTTGTAGTAGTTCAGTTGAACCATAAATTACCCAAATAATATCATACTATAAAATAAGTGATCTCGTTCCCCAAAAAATGGGAGTGGGGAGGGCGAGAAAAGATTTGTTAAAACTTGACAACACATTTTATTGTCCCTTCCCTGGGGAAGCAAGTATTCACCAAAATGTCAACCCTTGGATTTAATCATGAGGAAAGAATCCAGATAAAGAGATCCAGATAAAGAGACTTGAGCCTACAAATCCAGATAAGGAGACTTGCCCCAATAGAATTAGCCTGGCCTCTTTAAAAATACCACATAAAACAGAAAAAGAAAACTTTTCAGATTAAAGGAAACCAAAGAACATATTTTATATTTTAGATGACATTAACAGCATAGTATGTCTTGTATGATCCTTGACTGTTTTGAATGTAGAGGGAAATGATGTATTTATTATATGTGTTTATTAAAATACACAAAAGACATTGTTAGACCAGCTTGGGAAATTTAAACATATACTATAAGATACAAAGTATTTTACCAGTGTAAAACTTTTTTGAACAGGAATTGGTAATGTGGTTTATATTCAAGACAATCCTTACATCTAGTAAATGGATGCTTAGGTCATTTAGGGTGAAATATTTGCCCATAACTCAGATAGTTTAGCCAAAAGGAAAATGTGTCTGTATGTTTGTGTATAAGAAATTACACATGTCATCTTATAAATAGGTGAATTGAGATGAAGCGTAGATAAGTGTTCAGTGTTCTTTCAACTTTTCTATCGATTTGAAATATCTTTTAAAATTGCAAGAGGGAAAGGAGGATAAAATAAAAATAAATAATAAAAATTGCAAGAAAACATAATAAAGTAAATGGTTATCTAGTTTCTGTGTTTCTTCTTTCTTCCCCCTTAACTCTTTCCCTTATTCTCCTCTTAGGTTATTATTGCTTCTGTGCTCAGTACTTGTATTTTTTTGGTTTGATTTGGTTTTCCGTTTTGTTTTCTTTTTTGTATTTTTCCTCCGGGAACTCCCAAGGTTCAAAACCTTGGCTCAGCAAATGCCTTTCCTGCTGTACCATTTTTCTGACCTAAGGACTTATAATTTAATAGGGGACAGCCCAACCAAGTTTGGGGCTACTCCTAGTTATTTTTGAACTGACAGTTCAATGCTCAGAACCAAGAGCTTGTAGGTGCTCTGTGTTCAAGGGCCTTATGAATATTGCTGGGGCATAGGGGTGGGAAATACGGTGCCAGTATAGAACTCAGGGCCTCCCTAATGCTAGGATGTGCTAGCAAATGTCCTATTTGATCTTTCTCCCTACCCCTGCACTTAAAACTTTTCTCTCTCTCTCTCTCTCTCTCTCTCTCTCTATATATATATATATATATATATATATATATATGCATTCAGTTACCATCTTGGAATTACTCTCTCTGTACAAGGGTTCAAGGAGGCACTTTCCCCTCTTTCTGGTATCTTCATTCTTCATTGTGTATTGATTTTATTCATTCTTTTCATGTATTCCTCTAATAGTGGGGAAATTTGGCAAGCTCATTTCATGGGGGAAATTTGGTAACCTAATTTCAGCCAAAATTCTTTTCAATTCAATAAGTGTTTTCTCGAAGCCCACTGTGTTCCACACTCTGTGTGCTGAGTGAGCACTTGGCAGCATTTGAAATAGTCTTTGCAAATAATAGGGATATTTTTTATGACTTCCCAAAGAAGTTGAAATATTTATGAATTATCTTAAATAACTGGCAGTAGTATCCTTTAATAAATCAAAAGTGGATCATAACAATATTTCATATGTCCAGACAACCTCTGCTTGTTCTGTGTAATTGTACTTACCTACTTAAATGTGCTGGGAGAATCATATTAAATATTCTGAAATACTTCTCACTAAAGAAGCATGTTGTCGATGGCATATATTGTGTTTATATTGTGGTTTGTATATTATTATAGTAGCCCAAACTCTTGGCTCTGCACTGAGTAACTACTGGTGGTGCTTTGGGAACCATATGGGAAGCCAGGGATTGAACCCATGTCAGCTGCGTGCAAGGCAAGCCCCCCCATACTGTATCTCTAGACCTAATATTTTAAATTTTTACTTTGATTCTTAAAATGAGCGATAGCACAGGGGGTAGGACGTTTGCCTTGCACGCCACCAACACTGTCGACCCAAGTTTGATTCCTTCGCCCCTCTCGGAGAGCCCAGCAAACTACCAAGAGTATATCGCCTGCACGGCAAAGCCTGGCAAGCTACCCGGGACATATTTGATATGTCAAACACAGTAACAACAAGTCTCACAATGTTACTGGGCCTGCTCGAGCAAATCAATGAACAGCAGGAGGACAGTGACAGTGCTAGTAAAATGACAATATCTTGTGAAGTAATCTAATATCAAACATCAAAACATTGATTGCTCAAAGCAGTAACTTGTTTCATGTTCTTTCCTTAGTATTTGATTGCCAGTTATAACAGTGTTCTTTGCACAGAAATCAGTATACATATGTTTTGTTTATCTGTTTTTTGGGAAAACTTGAAGGAACAGACTATAATAAAGAGAGAAATATATCTACCTTCCCCGTGAAAATACCAATGGCACACTTTCATATCAATATCTTACTGTTACATCAGTAGTCTCCAAAATTAATTTGTTATCCTGACACATAATATAATTCCCCTGATTTCTATTTCAAAAGCAAAATATACACTTTAATTATTTGGTTATTTATGTCCTTCATATTAAATGTCCTTCATTTATTCACGTTCTTCATTCTCTTTGTTTAATCAATTTCTGCTTCCTGTTCTTTTTAAAATATCTCTCAAATATATGTTCTGTTATTTGTCTATGTTCTTTGTTTACATTCAGATTTCTTTGTCTTTCATTTTCCCAGATATTTGGATTGGGTTGAGTTGGGTTGAGTTTTTTCCACAGTTTTCAGCCATCCTGGTAATCTGTGTGAGAACCCCGGGAGGAAATGACAACACATGGGCAGACTCTGGGGTGCCAGGGGTCATTTTGGCAACCCCGTGGTGTTGAAGGTCCTCCAGAGCCACACCTGGTATGTGCTAGGGACCTTTCTGTCAGAGGGGACCATGAACTGGATTTTGTTCCTTCTTAATCCTGCATAGTATTCCATTGTGTATATATACAACTTGTTGATCCATTCATTAGTAGTTAGGCTGTTTTTAAAGAGTAGTTCCATATCTTGACTTTTGTATTAAAAGTGGTGGTGAACATAGGTGTGCATATAATAACCTTTTGAATCCATGTTTTTGTATTTTAGGGACAGATGCTGAAAGTGGTATCACTAGGTTGTACAGGCATTCTGTTCCTAGTTTTTTGAAAATTCGCCATCTTACTTTCCATACAGGCTGAGCCCAACCACATTCCCACTCACCAACAGTAGATGAGAGTTTCTGTCTCTACAATAACCCTGCCAACACTGACTGTTTCCAGAGTCTGATATTTGGCAAGGCCTGCACCTTAATCCCTGTACTCTCTCTGGCCCTGGACAGTAGTTTGGGACATAGAGAACACAATTAGTTAAGGCATTAGGATTTGAGTGTAGCTGAGGTCAGGAGATTGATCACTTCCAAACCAGGGGTGTGTGGGGAGAAGTGAAGTTGGAGAATGGGCCTTAGAATCAGGGTGTCAGTTGAGCTGAGGAGTTAGGACTTTTTGGGGAGATTGCAATAGACAAGTGGCTTAAATTTACAGGCCTCTTGAAAACATCATCTCTTGTTTACCATATGTATATGTATATATATATATATATATATATATATATATATATAAAGATTTCTTTGTCTTTCATTTTCCCAGATATTTGGTTTGGGTTGAGTTGGGTTGAGTTTTTTCCATAGTTTTCAGCCATCCTGGTAATCTGTGTGAGAACCCCGGGAGGAAATGACAACACATGGGCAGACTCTGGGGTGCCAGGGGTCATTTTTATATATATATATAAAATATATATATTTTATATATATATATGCTGTTTTCGACACTGGAGAAGAACTGTTCCTTGGAACATGTGATAAAAGAGGCGTCGGTGGTGTCGGTATCCTTGTCAACACAAACTTAGTCACAAGCATTGATTCATTTGAATGCCTAACAACCCGAATCGGACGATTACACTTGAATAAATGTGGCTCACTACCGGCAGTTTCTATCTTTGTTGTCTACGCACCAACATCCAGTTATGGTGAAAAAGAAACTGAGAAATTCTACATGGAGCTGGAGAAATTCTATAAAGAAGATCACACCTTCTACAAGATCATTGTCGGTGATTTTAATGCCAAGATAGGACCAAGAAGATCAGTCGATGAACTCCACATCGGAACCCATGGCCTGGAATGGAACGAACAAGGTGACAGACTGTCTGAGTTCATCATGTCAACCAAAACCTTCCATGGTAACTCACAATTCCAAAAGGCTGAATCTAAACGTTGGACATGGGAGTCTCCCGATGGACGGTTCCACAATGAAATAGACCACATCATATTCAATCGGCGGTTTTGCCTAACCGATGTTGCTGTTGTCCCAAAATTCCAAACGGGATCAGACCACCGTCTTCTTCGTGCAAAATTCTACCTCACAGAACGAGGAGAAAAGAATGCAAGGTTTAAGAAGAAGACTCCCAGAACAACCACCAACTGGGAACTCTTTGGCTCTGTTGCAGCAACATGGGAAGATGCCGTCATTGACAACATTGATGAGGAATACGATCGAATGATTCAGCACCTCCATGATTGTGCAAGGAATGCCAAGAGAGAGATAACCACAAAAAACCGTCTTTCTTCGAACACTCTTGAACTTATTCGCCAATGTGGCGTGGCACGTGCCTCAGGCAACCACAAGCAAACGTCCGAACTGGCAAAACAGTGCAGAAAAGCCATCAAGGATGACCTCAAAAACAGGAGAGCAGCAGTACTGGTAGATGCAGCAGAAGCTGGGAAAAACATTCGTAATGCCCGCCTGTCCTTCACCAACTACAAAACCAAGATGACTGCCCTCCGACATCATGATGGATCTATCACATCTTCCAGAAGGGCAATGGAGAAGATTATTCATGAATTCTACTCAGATCTCTTTAATAGCCACATCCACTTGCCCACATACCACATACCACATGATGGATATGTCGTTCCCAATGTTCTCCCTTCCGAAATCCAACATGCCATCTCGTCGGTAAAGAAACAAAGAGCACCTGGCCCAGACAAGATCAGACCTGAACACCTGAAGAACTTACCATCAGTACTCATCAATACATTAGCTCGACTCTTCACACGCTACCTGTCTGAATGCAAGGTTCCATCCCAATGGAAAACCAGCAAGACTGTACTACTATACAAGAAAGGAGACATCCACGACATTGGCAACTATCGCCCAATCTGCCTATTGTCTGTCATTTACAAACTATTCACTCGAGTCATCCTGAATAGGATTAGCAGAACACTAGATGAAGGACAACCATGTGAACAAGCTGGATTCCGAAAAGGATTCAGTACCATCGACCATATCCACACAATAACCAAGCTCATTGAGGTATCTCGGGAGTTCAAGATGCCGCTCTGTCTAACGTTCATTGATTTAAAGAAGGCCTTTGATTCTGTTGAGACGGAAGCGGTCATGGAAGCCCTAGCCAATCAGGGCGTACAAACTCAATACATCAGGATCCTTCGTGAGCTCTATTGCGGATTCACTACCAAGATCTCACCATTCTACAAAAAAGTAATCATCCATATCAAGAGAGGGGTTCGGCAGGGTGATACCATTTCACCAAAACTCTTCAGTGCCACCCTCGAGAACATCATGCGACGACTAGAATGGGAAAACATGGGAGTGAAGATAGATGGTCGGCAACTACACCACCTCCGCTTTGCTGATGACATCGTTCTAATAACACCAAACATCAGCCAAGCGGCACAAATGCTTGTGGACTTTGACCGTGAGTGTGGAAAGGTCGGACTACAGCTGAATCTTACGAAGACAATGTTTATGAGAAACAGCCTTGTTCCTGACGCTCCATTCGCTCTCAACGGAACCACCATCTCCGAATGCAACAGTTATATATACTTAGGTCGAGAAATCAACATGATGAATGACCTGGCACCTGAGTTACGCAGGAGGAAGAGAGCGGCTTGGAATGCCTTCAAGAGCATTGAAGAAATAACTAAAAGGACAAAGAACCTCCAACTACGAGCACATCTCTTTGATTCCACTATTCTTCCTGCATTAACATATGCCTCAGAGACCTGGACCCTACGAAAACAGGATGAGAACACTATTCGGGTCTCTCAAAGAGGAATCGAAAGAACTATGCTTGGAATATCACGATTCACTCAAATGAGAGATAGAATCCGGAGTTCTGATCTTCGTCAACGCTCAAGAATCAGAGACGCTGTCTCATTTGCCAAGACATCAAAAATCAGATGGGCTGGACATGTAATGAGGTTTACAGACAACCGCTGGACTAGAGCCATTACTGATTGGATTCCACGAGACATCAAAAGATCACGTGGACGCCCACCTATAAGATGGTCAGACTTCTTCGTCAAGACCCTAAATGATCGGTTTGAGGCTCTACATGTTCCTAAAACTAACAGATACCATTGGGCTACGCTAGCAAGCAACCGGGATGAATGGAGACGTTACTGGCACCCGCTCGAATAAATCGATGAATAACGGGGATTAAGTGATTAAGTGATTAAGTGATATATATATCTGTCTGTCCTCTTATTGTTCATCAGTTTGCTCGAGCAGGCCCTGTAATATCTCCATTTTGAGACTTGTTACTGTGTTTGGCATATTGAATACATCATGGGTAACTTCCCAGACTTTGCCATGCGGGCAAGATACTCTCAGTAGCTTGCTGGGCTCTCTGAGAGGGGCGGAGGAATCGAACTCAGGTCAGCCATGTTGACTGTTTGCAAGGCAAACGCCCTACCCGCTATGCTAGGAGCAATAGCACAGTGGGTAGGGTGTTTGCCTTGCACGCAGACAACCCAGTTTGATTCCCAGCATCCCATATGGTCCCCCAAGCACCACCAGGAGTAATTCCTGAGTGCAGAGCCAGGATTAACCCCTGTGCATTGCCGGGTGTGACCCAAAAAGCAAAATAATAATGATAATAATAATAATATACGTATCACCTCTCACAATTTCTGGGTCATAGGAGCCCCACAAATGTTTGTCACTTAAATTACTCTGATTCAGCAGATTTGCAGTTTTGAAAGGTTTTTTTTTTTTCAGGGGGGGAGGGAAGAAACAGCATGGAGTATCATTCCAAAGGTTATAGCAGAAGAAGCAGTTTACCTAGTACTGCAGTCATCAGAAGAAACACAATGAGCCTAAGCAGCACCTTTTTGCAGGAGAAGAATTAATTAAAACATATTTAGGGAAAAAATAGAAAAACCTCGGTAACAGAATTGAAGCTATTTACGTTATTATGAGAACTATCTTTGTCACAATTAAATATAATGTGCCTGGGACCGGGAAGATGCCTGGCATGTGTCAGGTCTGAGTTTTCATCGCAGCTCTACATTTCGGGTGCAGGGGTTTGGCATGTGGGGAGCACCACATTGCCTAGCACCTCACACCGAACTCTGGTCATGTAAACCAAATAAGTATATAATACTGTTTTTCATCAAGAGATTACTTATTGATCTAATGTACTCTTTAGAGAATCTTGGGCATCATGATATATTTTTTCACATTCTATAAGCATTCTTTACTAATATTTAAGAACAATGTTACTAATTTTATTAATATTAAATATTGCTGATTGATTGCTAAGGAAGATACTTTTAGAAAATAAAGCCAAAGATTTTTTTTTAATCTAGGATATACCAGAAGATATTCTTAAGAATTTAGTGGAAGAGCTTCCCCAGCCACGCAAAGTACCTCGACGTCTAGATGAATACACGCAAGAGGAAATTGAGGCTTTCCCGAGAGTGTGGTCCCCGTAAGTCTTTTCTGTTCCTTGTCTTTATTTTTATTGCTAAAAACAAAAAAACATGGGAGGGGCTGGAGCTATCGCACAGCGGGTAGGTCGTTTGCCTTGCACACAGCCGATCCGGGTTCGATTTCCAGCATCCCTTGTGGTCCCCTGAGCACTGCCAGGAGTAATTCCTGAGTGAAGAGCCAGGAGTAACCCCTGTGCATTGCCAGGTGTGATCTAAAAAACAAAAAAAAAGAAAAAAAAATGTGAGTTTATTATTCCCTATTAATTAGTCAAATGGATCCTTGAAAATGGTAAATGTGAACTTTTTTTCTTCAAACCCTTGCGTAGGCTTTGTAAATTCTCTCTTGCAAATAAACTCTAATGGTAGATATTAGAACACAATGTATCTAACACTTAAGATTGTGAAGTGCAAGAATGTGCATGCGTGCCTGTCATTTGTAACTGTCAGACACTTTGTTTGGGTTGACATTACTTGTACTCTTGGGGAAAGGAAAATAAATTGGCAGTAACCTGAAACAAAAATCTCCATTTTGCAGGTTGTTTGATTAACCCAAGAGTATCACATAATGAAGGCTTTTTCATTCTGGTTAATTCTGGACAGTCAATCTGAGTTGGAAACAGGAAAAGGAAAAAAAAAAAAGAACCACTTTGCTTTCCTCTCTTCCTTCTGTTTCCAGACTTCTTTTTCTGACTTACAGAATTTTCCATGACCTGGCCTCTCCCTGTCTCTTCCACTTACAGTCTTCCTTTCCAGTCCACTGATCTAGCAGTAGCAGAATACTCAAGATTGCCCCGCTTTTGTATGCAGTCTGACTCTGTCGTACTGTTACTTCTGCGTAGAGCAACTTGTCCCTTGCCTCGTCCTGGGGTAGGCCGTCCATTTCTTTACTATTTACCAAATTGTGGGGGTTATTGCTTCCCAGCCCCCCAGGATGCTAGGGGAGTGGTAGTAGCCTTGGGTGCAAATGGGGAAAAGTCGGGGGCAGTTTCTGTTTGAAGGTAGATTTGGGGGGCACTGGAAAAATGGGTAGTCGGCCAAATCGGTTTGGGGGACTCTGCCTTGTATTTGAAATTCTTGTGTCATCTCCTTTACGTCATACCTACTACCAAGAGCAGACTAAGTGCCAAACATATTCCGCTGTAGTGCAGTAAGTACAAAGGCTGCCTCTTATCAATGGAGGCATCCCCAGTGCATAGAAGAGTACTTCACGCCATCAGGCCTCAGGAATAGTGGCAGAATTTGCAGCGAGTCTGGAGAAAACCACATATAACCTGTGCTTGACCTGCACAAGGCAGCCCATCTTCCAGGGTACCGCTCGCAGTATTCTGAAATTCCTTCTCTCTATTGGCTCTTTGGGCCCAGAGGTTCCCCAAATTCTGAAAATCCTAACCTTTCACTCTAACCAGTATTGCATGTTTGTACAGTAAGCGTCCATCTTACTGCACATGGTAGGATAAGGGCGTTTTGTTTGAATGTCTCTGACTTTGCAGTTAAATATGCTAATGATGAGCCACCTATTATTACTGACCCTTTACTGAGCATTGTACATTATACTGAGGTCTAGTTGCTCAGCTGTGCTAATTAGTTTCTGTGCAGTCTGTGTAAACCCTCCACAGACGAGAAAGATAAATATATCATTTTTATTTCTTAGAGTAAGCGAAGGGTCAGCTGGTTTGTAGTGCAGCTTGGATTGTAGTGTTTGGTTTCAAAGCCTGTGCTCTTTGTACAGAAGAAACTTCTAATTATTTTGTTTTTTTCTACTAATAATATAGTAGCTATCCCTTCTGTGCAAGATATTGTAATATTGGATTAGCAGTTTATACCAGTTATATTCAATGTTATTACAGTCAGAGTTCTGATCTAAATTCTTATTTAACTAGTAATTTTCAAGGAATCTTTTGGAAAAACTTGGAGCGACTTAATATTTTTTTCAATTACTACTCTGGGAATGGATTTTCCTGCCCTTTTTCTTATTCCAAGTTTTCCTATGGCCGCAATATGCATTAAACACCAGACTTTCCTTTATTCCCTGCTAAAGTTCCGATCTTCCATCTCTAGGAACCACCCACCACATATGTTAACTTAGGTCCCTAAATAACAGTATACATACTTATTGAAATTGAGGATATATCACCAGACAGTTATGCTGCTGGTTACTTAACATAAATCATTCAACAACTCAGCCTTATACACATTGGAACTGACAACAAATCCTGCTACTTTTCTATTACCATGAAACGCATATGACCAGGGGAAAAATAATGGACATTTTTTTTAATGAACTAAAAAGTTATTATCTAAGTAGTAGTTGATTTTTTAGTTTAGAACTAATAGAAATTTCTACACTGATGAGAAGGCTCATTTGCAGTTTAATACAGCAACTACTAGTTAGGTCATATGTTGCTCATCTGACTGAAGAACTAAATTTTTGTATTTTAATTTAAAGTTGGGCTGAGTGATAGCATGGCGGGTAGGGTGTTTGCCTTGCACACGGCCGACCGAGGTTTGATTCCTCCGCCCCTCTTGGAGAGCCTGGCAAGCTACCGAGAATATCTCACCCGCATGGCAAAGCCTGGCAAGCTACCCATGACGTATTTGAAATGCCAAACACAGTAACAAGTGTCACAATGGAAACATTACGGGACCCGCTCAAATCGATGAACAATGGGAGGACAGTGACAGTGAATTTAAAGTTCAGTAGTCTCACCTGATTATTGACTAACCTATTTTTTTTTCTTTTTGGGTCATACCCAGCAATGCCTAGGGGTTCCTCCTGGCTTTGCACACAGGAATTACCCCTGGCGGTGCTCAGGGGGCTATAAGGGATGCTGGAAATCAAACCCAGGTTGGCCGTGTGCAAGGCAAAAGCCCTACCTGCTGTGCTATTGCTCCAGCCCCTTGACTACCCTATTAAAGTGCCATTTTTTTTCCATTTGCTCTTTTGTAAAGGTCTGGTATTAAATATACATTCAAATGGGAATTAAAATATTTGATCTGAATGTAACATAGATAAGTTTTTATGACAAAAAAATAGTTGTTGCATCTCCTTTTTAAAAAAAGGAGCTTTTGGACTGTATCTGAAACAATAGTCCAGCTGGTAGGGCACTTACCCTGCACACCGATGACCAGGGTTCCATCCCCGGCACCCCATACGGCGTCCCATGTCTTCCCCCCCTCCCCTGCCCCCATGTCCAGGAGTAATTCCTGAGTGCAGAGCCAGAAGTAAACCCTGAGCACCGCCAGCTGTGGCCAAAAAAAGAAAGAGAAGCCTATGTAAAATATGTTTTTATTCTTTAAAAGACTCAGCCAAGGGACTCGGGAGATGGCTTAAAGGGCTGGCGCACATGCTTGGCATGCAGGCATCCAGGTTTTGGACCTTGGCTCTGCCAGGTCTCTAGAGCACCACTGGGTGTGGCACACACAGCAAAAACTACAGCTCAGCCAAGATTATAATCTTCCTTGGGAATGTACTAATTGAAGCCCATTCAAGGTAGACCTGATGGTATGTCTGCAGAGTCCTCACTGTAACAGATATACCTGATTGTACCATAAATAAGTAGACAGGAAAATAACTGACTTTGGCTTTTGTTTCCCTAGCAAAACCTTTTAAGTATCTTTATAATATAAAAATAAACATTTTTAATTGAAACTAGGACAGCTTTTACATTGGAGGTTAAAACTTTTGAGCGGTCATAACAGCTGTCAAAAACTTGATTCAATCAGTACTTGACAAAATTCTTTTAATAATAATTAAAAGCTGCTGTCATTGGGATTTTACTTGAAGTATTTAAAAGCACTTGGAAAAGTTCTATTTTCACAGACCTTATTTCAGCATATTGGGTTTCCTTAGGCTTGATCATTACTCGGGTGTTTTTTTAATGATAAACAAGAAGGAAAAATAATCTGATATTTATGAGAAAACCATAAAAGTAGCCATTTCTTACATGAGAACTATAGCTTATACACCTAATTTCTTATTGTAGTAGATATCTTAATATATTAGTATCTTCCATATCTTATGAATATATATTATTTTACATATTATAGAGTTGTTATGTTACAAAGTTATAGTTAAGTGTTTTTTTAATTTTGCAATTATGTACAAATCATAATTGTAAAGGACACACTTAAAATTCATTTCTCAAATAATAAAACAACTGCACTAGCTTTTCCTTGTAATTCAGTTGCCTGGCAGAGTCTGGCAAACTCCCCGTGGAGTACCCAATATGCCAAATACCAGTAACAATGATGGGTCTCATTCTCCTAAAGAGCCTTGAATATAATCTCAGGGCTAAGATGAAGGAGACGTTACTGGGGCCTGCTCGAGGCAATCGACGAATAACAGGATGATTTGTGATTTTTGTGATCAGTTGCCTGAGGTTTTTAAATCATAATCTAATGTAAATTTTTCATTTTGTAAGGTAAAAGAAAAATTGGAGTCATTTTAAAGACAGATTTTTTTATTTGCACAAAATTTTGTAGAAAATTTTGTGTAAGTAAAAATTTTCCTAAGAAGAATTATTTTGAGGGAAAAAATTGGTGTATGGGACAGAGCTATAGTACAGCAGATATCCTTGCCTTACATGTGACCAACCCAGATTTAATGGCTGACACCCCATATGGTTCCCTGAGCCCAAGAGTAACTTCTCAGCACAGAACCAGGAGTAAGCCCTGATCACTGTTGAGTGTGGCCCGAAACCAAAAAAGAATAAAGAAGAGTTGGTGTGTGGTGGGTAGAGAAATAGTGAAAGCTTAAAGTGTTTACCTTACATGCAGCCAACCTAAGTACCATTTACTACTGCATATAATTGATCTAAATGTAAGTGCAATACATTTGGCCACACCTGGCAGTGCTCAGGGATTACTTCTGGCCTTGCTGGGGGAGGGGAGGGAGACACGGGAAACCGTATGGGGTGCCAGGGATGGAACCCTGGTCATCTTGAGCACGACCGGAAGTTAGTTCCACAGAGCACAATTAAGAGTAGCACCTGAATGCCTC